ATCACCTAAAACTATTTATGGCCCGTGGTACAGATCTCTTTTTTATCAAATTACCGTATCATAAACTATAACTATTGTTTTAACGAAAACTCTTGAAAATGGGGAGTTTTCTATCTGGAGATCAGAAAACTTTGTCTATATAATTAGGTACCAAAAACTCGTAAATACCCATCTGCCTTCCACTAGGATCATCAGATAATTTGATCAAAAAATCGAGGAAAAAGGTGGCCTACCAAAATGTTGGTCCGTTTGTCGTATATAACTTCGTTAATTTGGAATGTTGGGGGTGTAAATAAAGATTTTTTCATTTATTTTACATATTAAGTGATTATGATAACTTTTTTATCCCAGCTAAATTTTCCCAATCCTAATATTTACGTTTTTATGAAAATAATTTTTTTTTTATTATTTATGATATTTACAACTTTATTATAAATAAAAATGCAAGAAAATAATTTAAGTAATTAGTCGGTATTTTATTTTTTTAGAAACATTTATTTACAACAATTAATTAATACATTAAAATGGCCTTGTGACAAGATGATTTTCATTTGCCCGATTTTATTTGTATTTCTAGAATAAAAATTCTAAAATAACATTCCTTGAAAATGTTACTTGTTGAGACAAGAAGCTCTACGTTATGGAAATAGGCTTCTCTTCCTTGAATTCCCAAATGTTTCAATATTGTATCAAAATGCAGTTCTCATTACCAATTGGACGTCTATATAAATTCAAGATAATTAACAATGTAAAAAAAAAAGTATAAATTCTGATGCAATTCACTTGAATTAGTTTCACTAAAACGTAAATATCAGTATTAGGAATGTAAGGGATTAGTTGGTCACTGATAAATACAGATCAATTCCTATAATAGTGATCTTGGTAAAAACCCATAGTTTTCATAATCACTTGTGATGATAAATATTTTAAATAACGGTATTTTAATATATATTACAAATAAAAAGGGCATTTCTGCAATTATGTTTACTATAATAAATCTCAGGTCATGGAAAAATATTGTAATCATTTTCGCTGAAAACAAATGTACTTTTAGAAGAGAGGATATCAAAATCACCTAATTTATTAACACAACTTGAGATGAATCTCAACTTATTTCGTAATAAACCCTAAACTTAATTAATGTGGGTTTAAAGTTTATTGAAAAAGGAAGTTTTTTTCTAAATGGGGGGTATCTGTAATATAGTTGGAAGATGATGAAAAAAAAAAATGAATAATTCATGATTTAAAAAAACAAAAACAGAACATACTTTATTTTAATCCGCTTTAAATGGTTTTACCAATGGCAAACTCTACTTTTATTAAAAATTAAACTTAGTCTAGTTAATAAAGTAATTGGTAATTACTTATATCAAGTATTTTTTGCGTTATCGCTTCCAATTCAACAAAAAACTGACTTACTTAAAAAAACACAAAACTTAAATTTCCTACTTTTCTGTTGATAATCAGACAATTGTAAATATGATTTTTTTTTTTAAGTCTTAAAGTCTACAACCAGTTCTTTAAATATTTCTCTCTACTTACGGGACATCCTGTACATATTATCGTAACCCGCACTTTATTAAACAGGTGTTACATATGGAAGCTTATTCAAACTTTCGGCCAAGCTAGTTTCGTGTACTCGCTCGAGTTTCTTCCGTTATCTATTTCGATCTCTTATTTTTGCTTTGTTAATTAACAAATTGTTTCGTACTTCATATTTCAACATTAACAGATTAAATTTGAGATGATTAATTATTTCAAATTAAAAAAATTATTTTGTAAATTTTGTAAAGGTATAGATAGAAATTTTGCAAATTAGTCATTTTAGCCCAGTTAGGGAACATCAATGAGAATGAAATCAACGTTATATTTACATTTATATTTTATATTCAAAGATAACTTAATTTTACAATGATATAGTGAATTTAATCAACGTTTTTTAGAAAATCGGAAATGTGTAAAATCGATGATGTTAAGTGGAACTTCCAGTTAGCCAATTTTAAGAGAAAAGTTTCTGTAACATCTCAGGCATATGTCTGCCTTAAATATGTAGTTTCAGTCACTAGTGGATCCAGGATTTAATTTTAGGGGAGGGGGGAGCTTCAGTCTTTTTTTTTCATATATATAAAGATAATTAATTTGAAAAAAAATAAACTAATTATATATCTGAAATGGTGTTTGAGTGATTCTTGAATGTAATTACACGAACAATAATAGTTTAAGAGATAGTTTTAAATATTTTTTTCTATAAAACATGGTCATATTTTATATTTTATTTTAGAAATACTCCGTAGATCCGCATGTGGTTTCAGTTTAATGTAACTTTTCGTTTTTGAGCTAGATTTTTGATCCCACAAACACAGAACATTTTGTGGGACTTTGTTATTTGGACTCAGGGGATCTCAAAACTTGTACTTCCGTTGAAAACTCATTCGAAAATGTTCACGATCGCAACACTCATTACATATTACTTAAACAGGTAAGTGAAAGTAAAAATAATCTACCTAAAAAAAATCATAAAAACAGCTGGATTAACAAATGGCAACATTCTTATTTCTTTGACCTAGTTATAAAAAAGAAATAGTTCAGATTACAATCACGTGCAAATCTCATAAATAAATTCTTGAAATACTCGGGGTTATTAGTGAGCGAGAAAGTAGAGGTATTAACCAAATATCGAAAAAAAAAAACTGATGAAAGTTCTAGACTTGAAAGGCATTTAATATGTGGAATTATATTCTTTTACGCCTTAAGGAAAATAACTGGTTTAGATATGAGAGGAGGTTGTTGATATAAATAGTGTGATATAAAAATTTCTAATCCAGTCATCAAGATTAAAACGATGATAACATTGCCTCTAAGCGACATTCAATTAACCAATCTTACGAAACCTCACAATCGCTAGCAGGAATGTCTAACTGACCAGGTAAGAAAAAAATAAAATAAAAATCCAGATATCCAAAAAGAGAGGCGAAAAAATTATTTTATTATTTTATTTTTTACATTCTACTTACTTACCAATGGCTTGAAAAATGTATTAATATTTTTAATTGCAAAATTGCATGGATTTGATGCTTTTAATAATTAGATAAACTCTATTTTAGTTATTGAAGTTGCCCCAATTCATAATACAATTAAACGTACATATATTCACCCTTAAATAGGATAAATAACATAGATATGCGCGAATTTCTGTTGCTATCTGTCATCTTGGTGAGATTGAAATTTTCAAAAATTTTAAAATATTTCCAAAGAAATTTCTGAAGAACAATCGAGAACTTACTTCATACACATCTGAATAACTGATGATAAATTATGTTTTAAAATACGCAATTAAGAGGTCATGTTGTTTGTGTTGTTAAAAAAAAAAAAAAAAAAAAAAAAAAAGAAATACATTGGTTTACATAATAAATATAGCCTTTTGTTCTGAAAAAAAAATTATGAAAAATACTTAAAAATTGTATAACATATAAATGTGTAGGTACCTACTATATTTTAAGTGTGATATATTATTTACAACCCTTATACCTCTTTTATATTCTTACTGTTAACATTTCTTAACATGTACTCTTCTCAGATGAATATTTTTATATTCCTATATCTGATATTTTTATGTTTATTGCGAAACGGTAGTGTAGTATTACATTAAACATTATACGGTCGCTATGTATTTCATTTCAATACCCCTTCCTCCAAGATAATGTCCTAAAGTGGTAACCAGGGTATAATATATAATACAATATATTATATACAATAGGTTTATATATTTCTGTAAAATTGATTTTCCAAGTCAAAAATACTTACAGGTGTTCAGGGGTACCTAGAAGAGGGTTTCATGGCGCCAAATTTTCGCCACCAAAATCTTTGAAGGGATCATATTTTTACGAGTTTTTGAATTTTCCATGGGGACTAATTTCTATGCAGTCATGAATTTTCGAGGGGGAGCTAATTTCTATGCGGTCATGAATTTTCGAGGGGGGGGGGCTAATTTCTATGTGGGCATGAATTTTCGGACTAAAGGACAAGGGAAAAACATGGAACAGGCTAAAGCAAATATAATCATATATGATCTACGATGGGGGCGGGGTGGCCGAATAGGCTAAAGCGTGTGCACAGCACCGCTAGTTGCCTGGCAACCGGATAACAGAGATTTGAGATGATATAAAAAGTACGAGTTCGCGTCCCGGTGCCGGAGGGGATTTTAAATTCCCCGCCCTCACCCCCGGCTCGGGAAAATCCCGTATAGCCTAAAAGGCGAGGTAGGGAAGAACAAAAAAAAAAAAAAATATATATATATATGATCTACGATTTTTCTAATTTTACTAGCTTGCTCTGTTTTTAAGAAAAGGTGAACAATAAGTTGTTTGGAGGGGGAATAGATTCTTGCGTCATCGATAGTGTTGCCCAAATGCGAGACCGAGACGAGTCTTGGTCTTGCAAACTCAGTCTTGGTCTTCCGCAAGAGTCTCACAAGAGTCTTGCGGTTACTTATTGGCTTATTACTATAGAGATATTACTGTAATTTCTTAGTTAGGAGAAACCTAACTAAGCCTTAAAAATTAGAGGAATTAAATACATAGTATATTGGTTATAACAATTAATAATATAGAATAACTAAAATTTTTGAGTATTAGTAACTATTTTGTCTCAATTTCTATTTAAAAAATCGATTTTTTTTTAACTGTCCTGGTCTTGGTCTTGCAACAGTTAGGTGGCCTTGGTCTTGATCTGCAAAGTGCAAGACCAAGACCAATTTTGGGTAACACTAGTCATCGGCCTTGGGGGGGAGGATGGGAATCCCTGCAGATGTTTTAAGTGTCCTCACTAAGAGAAAGAAGTGGATTTTCCATTTAAGAAGGCAGTGTGGTTTTAATATACAAATTCTAAAACTTGATTGTAAATAAGACCTGTCTTATTTCCAGTCTTTCAATTGGATTTTTGAGATTCTAAAGCTATATTCTTTAGTTTTTGTTTTGTCTTCAAAATTTCATTACCTTTCATTATACATACATACATTCAAACATTACAAAAAATAAAGAAAGGAAATGTACTGTAAACTCATATATTTTAATTGCATCATCATATAACTTATGCTTAACTTTTAGTAGTCTGATAAAGAAGGTAAGATTGGTTTTAGAGTGGTCCAGATTCGGTTTCCATAGATCAGTATTCCGCATGTTTCCAAGATCTAACAGGGGAATGCTTCCTGTTTCCTGCAAACAGATATTTAGGAATAATTGTAGCAATTATTAAGTAGATTAACTTGTTTATGTTATATTATCGATGATAATGGCGTTACCTCACCCATTTTCCTGTATTGAAGTAACAGTAGAATTTAGTCCATCCCCACATGCAGGTGAGGTATTGGGGGCAGCAAATTCCTGGAGCACATTCATGTTGTCCGCTCCTGATGGCATGCACGCCAACTTCATCTGAGTCTCCTGGTGTCAATTCTACATGGGAAAGAGTAAAGCAATAACAATTTATTCGTATGTAATTATGATACCGATTTCATTATTTCACTGAGGAATTCTTGCAATAAGAAGAATGACAGTGATATAAAAGAGTTGATGTACATCAATAAATTTCAACTACGAAGAAGATCAACATTAATTATAAATGTAACCTTCAAGCCGACTAAAGAATTGTGGAATTTTTGTACTTAAAGAACGTACACCGTCAAGGCTTTAAAGGTTTAAAAGGCTACATCTTATGACATAAATTGTACCATCTCAAGTGGCTAACTTTATCTTGCATTACCTGCATTTAAAAAAATAAACCCAAAAAGAGTCTAGATAGAAGTGTAGTAAAAGTATGCTTTACAATGATTTGAGTAACGTTATTTGAGAAAGACGTAACGTTTTTTGTCTTCCTTGACTTTTAGGATAGAGGGGATTATTTAATAAATCTTAATGATTTAAATAATAATGCTATTATTATTATCAATAATTGGAGAATTATGAAGATATAATCGTAGCTTAGATGGATCATAATCTCCGACCAAACAATAGCGAATGACGTTAAAATTAAAAAAAAAAAACGCTTTTATACAAGAGGTAAGATAATGACGTTAAAATAAAAAAAGCTTTTATACAAGAGGTAAGATAAAATGTAGATGAATATGTATCTAAATTATGTTTAAACGTGGAAGAAACACCGTTCAGAGTTGATTGAATACCACAAACAGGATATATATTTATTTGTAAACTCATGGAATATACAGATATATTCGCATTTTAATTATTATTAATTATTAAGTATGGTACAACTGAAAATAAAGTATAATAAAAAATAGGACATAAATATTTCTTATAATCTAAGAAATGGATGAGCGATCGAAAACAGGCCTGAAATTCAGGATGGGGTATTGGCTTGGAAAAAAAGTCAATTAAATTTGAGCTGCAGAAGAATTCAAGTGATAAAGAGCTTATACAAGGTTGCGCTTTTCAGATAGCAAAAAGGGAAGGGAAGGGGTGGCCGAATGGGCTAAAGTTGCCTGGCAACCAGAAGTTTTTGAGAGACAAAAATAAGTACGAGTTAGCGTCCCGATGCCGGAGAGGATTTTAAATTCCCCGCCCTCACCCTCCGGCCCGGGGAAATCCCGTATAGCCTAAAATGGTGAGGTAAGGAAGAACAAAAAAAAAAAAAATAAATAAATAAAAAAACCTTGGATCAGTCCATGCATAGTAAAAAGGTTGGACATTTCCCCCCTAATAGAAAATGTTTTGGCACTGAATCAACTAAATGACAACAAAATAGGTAATTTAAAAGCTAAAACAGGAGGCCCACCCGCACAATTTTAAGTGTTTCTTACGAAATAGAGTAAAACAGCTAGCTGGCAGAATTCAATTATAGCTCTCATAAATTAATGGAAAAAGGCTTCGGTAATCGAATCCTTGAATAGAAAATAAAATGGATAGCTTTCCGATAAAAAAAAAGACATTAAATCACCATGGAATGCGTGGTGACATCACATGGAACAATCAGCAAGATATTCCAAATCCTCAACAGAAGGACTGGGTAACAGACCAGTAGAAAAATAATCTTTAAGTAAAATATTAATTATGATAAATATTCAGGACGGAGTAATTGTGAAATTTTTATTAGTGCCGACGTTTCAACCCAAACATGTGGCTCATCATCAGGGCTCTGTTTTGGTGTGAAATATCGACACTAATAAAAACTTTATAATGACTACGTCCTGAATATTTATCACCCATGATATGTAAAACAGTCGAATAACTTCCTTCAATAATTCATAAAATATTCAAAATTTAGCCATAGAAATAAATAGAATAATCGAACATACAAATGCTTTCGATGATTAAAATGAGTAGCGAACTTTCAGGAAAACTATAAGCTAGGAATAGCTCAAATGAAACCTCAGCGATGCACAGAATTGATGAGATAATAAAACTGGAAAGCATCCACTAGAAAACTGTAACAAATGCACTAAATAAATAAGTAAACAATAGTTTTTAGCGGCAATAGAATTACACATATTCAGACGAATATATCAGTATGTATAGTTGGTATATGAAAACTGTTGAAAAACGAATTTAAAAAGATATAACATATGATGGGGAAAAGTTGGATAGATCAATTATTTCATCGGAGATTTTTAAAGCATTTGTTTGCGATTTCATTCAAGCGTACAAAAATGAATTAAGTTCATTGAAAACTATAGTTCGACCACCAACTAAACTAACATTTTTTTATTCCTGTCTCTCTTATATTACTTACAAAATATTTTGAAATTTAAATATAAGTAGGAAGATTAAAATATCATCTTTCAATATATATATATATATATATATATATATATATATATATATAAGTTATAACGGAGAGTTAGTTAAAGTTTAAGTTTTTTCTTAAATGTGAGTTTCAAATTTTTGCCGTACGCGTTCGCCCTCAGGATGCCAACTATACGGTTACTTTATAAATTATATACCGTTATATATATATATATATATATATATATATATATATATAGTTATGTACCTTATACTTATATAACTTACAAAGTAACCGTGGCCAACTATAATATGCTTGCTCTGTTTAAAAATATATTCTTGATAAATGAATTTTCGTACAAATAATTGTTACAATACTAAAAATTATGAATATTCAGATGAATAGCACATGTCTATCAATAATTATGGTCCAATATATTCGAAGAATTCTGGCTTAAAAAAAAAAGCATAGGCAAATTATTAAAATTATGACAACATTGAATAGAGGAAATAAGGTTACTTATTAGGTTAATATGAATCACATTATTTAAATATTGTTGATTTTATTAAATATATTCATTCTTTAACATTCTATTAGTTAATTTATTATTTAAAATTTAAAAAATGAAATCATAGTTACGCAATTTGATAAAAAAAATACTACATTGATGTATTATTCATTACTGAAACATTTAATAGAAACAAATTGAATTCCAAATTTTTTTCTACAAATTTATGAAACATAAAATATATTTGTGTATAAGTATATAAACACTAGGCTGATAGTCAAAGATTTACAAGCTGTGTAGAACCAACAGAAGAAATAGAATTAATAAAATATATATAATAGAAAATTCAGTAGAAACAGCTGATGACCCACAAGCAACCTAAAATCGGGGCCCCATGAACTATTGCTTTCGTTGGATAAAAAAAAAATTATTTAAAAAAGTTAATAAATAAATAGTCTCAAAATTCCATAATTCCTTTTTTGACTCAAGTACAATTACAAAACTGCCTAAAATCGGCCCCCCAAGAATACCACTTCTCATGAATACGAAAACTATAAATAAATAGATTAAATATAATTATTCATCAACATTGTTATTGATCATTATTCATTCTGGAATTTGTTTCTATATGATATACAATGAGCTGGATATCAACCTAAAACTGGGCCCCCAAGAGCAGTGATACCTTCGAATAAAACAAAAAACATAAATAATAAATGAATAAATTATGATTAAAAATAAATGTAGGCAAGCTGATTCTCTTGTCCTAGTGGATACATCAAGACTAGAAAACACCCTAAAATCGGGCCCCCAAGAAAAATATACATTAAAACTATTTTTAAAAAATCATAGTGTTACTTAAGTTAAATTTTTTGGGCTGGAGATTTTTAGATCCCTGTATATACCAAAATTAAGTTCATAAAGAGTCCCCAAGATTTTTTTATATTTTTTAACAAACAGTTTTCAACGTCTGCACTAAAAAATAAAAATGAATGTTTTAAAGTCATAATTCAAGTTAAATAATATTTATACAAGATTATTTCGGACCTGCAGGGAACATCAAAGACCACAAGAAAAATAAAAATTTATTTCAGATATTTGAACCGATATAGAATTTCGTTACAATATGTTTCCGCTAGTATAAAATTAACAAGGGAACATATTTAAGAGTGAAATTTGTTGATTCCATTTTGTAGACCTTCCTCGCAAATAGCAATTGGGCCGCTTATGAAAATTATTTGAATTGACATCACTGGATTCAGCGCTGTAGCCAATCCATCTTCAGGTGAACAGGTCGTGTTGTAGGAACCATTCGTACACTCATTCACCAACTTAAGTTGACGCCCTAACGCCTACCTAAGCTTAATCCTTTTTCTGTTCAATATAACCCTCGTCAACACAATGCCATTTCTATATTTTGTCAACAGAAAACAGAATGTTACACAAATTCATTGGTAAAAAAAAAAAATTACATGACTCAATCGTCAATCAATGCTCAAAAAAAATCGTACAATCAATGCGGGCTTTAGATCGTTAGTGTTCGGTGCGAAAATGAAAGAACACACACTATTTTTTTTTTTTCAAGAAAAATCAATGAATATCTAATGCAATTAATTTCAAATTCGACTAAAATGTCTACTGTTTGTTGTTATTACTATTATTTTCTCATCTAACTGCACCAACTGACCTACCAAAGTCGTGTTCACTAAAGGATTCCTTATTAAAATGTATTTAAACTTTCGTTTTCAATATATATCAATGTCAAAAAAAGTAAGTTTTTCTTGGAATAATCCAACTCAAATACGTCTTGACGATCTACAACTTAAAAAAAAAAAGTCTTTCTCAAGCAGCAACATTTACTGGCGAAGACAACAGTATCCAAATATTCAGATTGATAGAACATCCAATGAACAGAAATCCTAATATTAGAAAGAAGTTACGTTGGTTAGACAAAATAATTGAACCGATTTAATTTATATATATATATATATATATATATATATATATATATATATATATATATACATATAAAACCTAAGAGCGAGAAGAAAGTTTACTTCTTTAAAAATAAATTTTCTCCAAATTTGTTACCACTCTGAGATTCTTACGAGCTGGAGAAAATTCCAGTCGACCCACCTAAAGCCGACCCTTGTACAACCTCATAGTCCGTGGTACAGATCCCTTTATATAAAATTATTAACGCTCGTCCAAAACAACGTTCTATCGTAAACTGCAACTTTTTTATCTAGAAAAAGTATAAGAAATACGGCGCTTTATGATTAAATTAATTAATTTAACGAGGTACTAATAAATCATGGATAGTCATCCTCTTTCTACTTCGATCATAAGATAATTTGATAACGAAATCTGAAAAAAAAAGAAGAGATCTACAAGAAATATTGGGCCGTTCGGCCTTGATAACCTCGTTATTTAGACGTGTTGGGAGTGAAGGCAAACGGCCCATTATTGTTCACGGTTTTGTGATCAAATTATCTCACGACTCAAGTGGAAAGCAAATATTTGTTCATGAGTTTTTAGTACCTCATTAATTGTCGAAGTTTACCAATTTTTGTAGATATAAAAGTTTTGGACTACGATAAAATGAAGCCATTCACGAAATTTTAGAGGAATGTTAATAATTTGATAAAAAGGAGTCTGCACAGCGGAATATAATTTTATCTTACATATGGACATGAATAAAAAATTGTGTATTTCTACATACACATCAAACGTATAATAAGAAAACTATCACTTAAAACTTAAGGTTTTAGATTAATTCTATTATTTAACTTATAGTTGACAGGTTTGTCTTTTTCCCATTAACCTGAAATAAAAATTGAACAAGCGTTATTGACCGAAATTTACAATCATTAGATCATGTATTTTAAAAGTTCACCATTTTGATAGAGGATGGCGGAGCCGGCTGCAGGCTTGATGAAGGCGAGACTGGCGCAAATAGCGACAACGAGCAGCGTGACGTTCTTCATCTTAGTGTTAGCTGCACCGCTTCCCCTGTTTTAGGATATTTATATCATTTTAAAATCAATAATAGAGCGGTTATTTCATTATTATTTTTTTATCGATAATCTACATTATCGATAAGTAGTATTCTTAAATGGTAATAAAGAGATTTAATGTTCTTTGTATCTACAAGCTAATCTATGGGTATTTGCCGAGTGATATCTCATTTTATTTTGTTCCCTGCCAAAAAAAAAAAAAACATTTAATCCTGTCATTTTAAACTTCTAATAAATAAGCCCTCGAAGTATGAATAAAACTTAATAATAATTACAGCAGAAATATAAGGACGACTCATTAATAAAATAAGCATTATTGAGAGTTTCATATATACTTTTAACAATATTAATAGAACTAATCCAACTATAACTCTTTTTTTTTCCATTCATAAAGAATAATCAGACATAAGACCTTGAGCAGTCCAGTAAGATACTATTTTTCTCTCAAATATGACGAAAACTTATATAAAAAAATTAAACCTACCATATACTTGAATACTTTTTATGAAAACGTAAGTACTAAATTTAGAAACATTTAGTAATTTAATACAATAAGGATCAATTCTCATGATAAAGATTTATGCAAAAATATCTGTCCATTTTACGGCAGTAAAGTTTGCAAAATAATTATTTAAAATATATATGTGTATATAAATCAAACTGTATTTTTATAATTAATTTACTACAGTACAATCTAGGTCATTGAAAAAAAAGGTGGATCCAAATTTTATTATACAAATTTAAAAAAAAACAGTTTAGTAGTTTCGGAGAAAATGCGCGGATGGGCAAAAAATTTGTATTTGTTTTTCGAATTCTACACATCCTGAAACGTGAAACCTCAAATTTTGAGAGGGGATTAAGTTTTTGAATTTTTTGGTCGATCACAATGGTTCATTATTGAAAATAATAAACCAAAAATATTTTTAAATCGCGATATCTCTACTAATAGTGCTCTGATTCCGATGAAACCTCTTTCAGTATTTAGAAAATTTAAATATCTTTGAAAAATCTTATCATAATATCAACAAAAAAGTGTATAATTTTTGAGTTATTCGGAATTAAATTTTACCATCTCTCGTAACTTCTTTCCAGCTTCTTTTCGTTGATGTATGTAATGTTGGTAAATTTAAAGAGCGTCGAGAATATGACTTTAGCGAAATATCATTGAAATCGGTTCATTTGTTTAGGCGATACAGTCTATAGCAACACAGCTTTTTTGGCCACCATTTTGAAACTAGAAGGCGAATAGTAATGCCGTCGAAGGAGGATCATCCTTGGATGACATCTGATTTTATATCCAAATTTGAAAAAAAATGGTCAAGTAGTTTCGGAAAAAATGCGCGGACGGCGGACGGCGGACTAGTAGTGCATATATAAGAGAAGGTGGTGGACAGAATTCAATAAAATTGACACTAAATTATTTTTTACCAAAGTCTACCTTTTATCTAACTTTGAGCCAAATCGAACGAGCCATTTCTGAAATATTGGCATATCTAAAAAAATACGATTGCGCGTGCGTAAGCGGAAGTGCTGGATGGAATTTGATAAAATTGATATGGGACCATCTAGGCACCATTTTGAAAGTAAAATTTCGGATATTAATGTCGATGAAGGAGGATCAACCTCGGGTGACCTCTGATTTTACATCCAAATTTGAAAAAAATAGGTTTAGTAGTTTTGTAGAAAATGAGCGGACGGCGGACGGACTAAAAAAATTTTTATTCGTTTTTCGAATTCTACGTATCCTGAAAAGTGAAACCTCAGATTTTGAGAGGAGGTTATGTTTTTGAATTTTTTGGTAGATCACAATGGTTAATTATTGAATATAATAAACCAAAATAAAGCTTTAAAATAAATTATGACGGTTATTTTTACAAAAACACAGATACTTTGGGATAACAGAATAAAAACATGAACTTAATTAATATGAACTTAAAGCTTATTAAGCAAGGAGGTTCTTCTAAAAGTGGGTAACTGTCTCGTATTGTAGGGTGATAATGTTAGAGTGATAAAAAAAATAATGTTTTTATAAAACTGAACTTGGCAAAATTTATCCGCTTAAATGTCACTTATAATTCATTTTGACAAAAACAAACTCTAATAGCATTGAAAGTAAATTTTGTCTAGTTTATTATGAAGCCTTAGGTAATTGCTAATTCATTTTGACAAAAACAAAGTCTAATAGCATTGAAAGTAAATTTTGTCTAGTTTATTATGAAGCCTTAGGTAATTGCCTCTATGAAACATTTTTTAGCTATCGCTTCGTATTCAGATAAAAACATGACATTTAAAAAACACAAATCTTAAGTTTTCTGCGGAAAATCAGACCATTGTTTATATGAACTTTTCGACAGTTTTTCAGATCTGCTCTGGAGATGTGGTCTGTTCATAGCAATCTAGGTCTTCCTCGAGAACGGGGTTCGGTAGACCTGGCTTCAAAAAACTTTGGATCACGGTCTTCATCTATTCTGCATAAATGACATGACCCTCCCAACTGCCTCTTTTCGACTGATTCTCAAAGCAGGCACTCTCAGATTTTCCCTTAACCTTATTCTCAATATTCCATCCATAAATAGTATGAAAAGGATATAGAATAAATATAAATAAGATATAGAAAAATAGTATGACTACGACTGCAACCTTGTCACAAGGCATATTCTTCTGTTAATTCTAACTTCCCCTTTGGAGTCATGATAAGTAGATTTAATGGCACTTATTAATTCTGTGGGAACATTTAGTGGCTGAAGCTGTCCATATTTCTTCTATGGGAACGGAATCGAATGTTTTCTTTATTTCCAGGAACGCTAAGTACAAATTCTACCCATGGTTTCTCAATAATGGTCCTTAATGAGAAGATTCTGTGTTTGATCAAGATCCTGTGTTTGACGGTGGGGTCCAAAAGCTGCTTGCTCCTTTTCTAATTTGCCTTCAACATTTACCCTGAGTTTTCTTTCCAGTATTGTGGAGTAAAGTTTATAGACTAAAGTAATCTATTGGCCAATACTTTTAATTTGAAATTTGACACATCTATATAGAAAATCCTATAGTAATTTTTCGGAAATAGACATTGACAAAATTACACAATATTTATACAACATTTTATAAACAATTTTATCCATTCTCCTCATGCTGCACTAATAGATTGGAGTCAGGATCTAAAAAGAGTACTCTTTTTAGGAGGTTTGAAGGTATAACTCCTGAAGGGTTTATCAATACAAATAAAAAAAGTATGTTAAATTGTGCATGGAATTAATATCAAAATAAATAATTTAGTGGTATGATCGAAAACCACGGTCAACGAACGATGATTTTTACGATCATTTCATTTATCATCGCTGTTGAGAGCCAATATACGCTGGATATTGCCAATTTCGAAAGATGAACTTGGCTTAATTTAAAAATATTGGTACGTGGTGGATACAAAATTTGATGCTCTACAACTTTTATTCTATGTTATATTTTATTATTTCTCTTAGAGAATAAATTTCCAAGTAACAGAGGTATTTTTAATATATCTTATTTTTGACAATGTTGATGAAAATCGTCATTTGTTGACAGTGATTTTCGATCTTACTACTAAATGAAATTATAATTTTTTTTCGTTCATGAGTTCTAGGAGAAAAAAAAAACAAAGAAATCCTGATTTTTTTTTCCTTCAAAAGTTCTTCCAAGGTGACCCGTGTTTGCATTTTTTGGTTTTTACCCTAGTCCTAACCAACAAAATTAAAAAAAAAATTTTTAATTTAAAATATAATTTGCATATCCTTCATGAAATTTGCATTTAAATACTACTTTCAAGGACACCACTTCCTGATTGAGCACTGGTGTAATAAATGGCGTATTAAAATAAATGAATCCAATTGTCAACACATCACTTTCACGCTCCGACGCAGTTCCTGTCCACCAGTACACTTTAATTCCATCCAGCATCCTTTCTCAGACACAGTCCGGTATCTTGGCTTTCTCTTAGGCAAGCGACTAACGTGGAACCCTGATACTAGACTTAAAAGACAGGAACTTAACCGACGATACGGCCAACTATGCATACTACTAATTAGAAAATCTAAACTCTCTTATGGACTTGAACTTTGGGGAATAGCAAAATTTTCCAACATCAAACGCATCTAATCCTTCCAATCCAAAGTCCTTCGAACAATAGTAGATGCTCCTTTCTATGTAATCAACAAAACCCTACACCATGACCTTAATATCCCATGACCTTATTCCAGCAAAATTCTCCAAATTTCACCAGAACCTTACCTTTCATTCAAGTTCCTTTGCACAATTCCTATCCAGCACCAACCATCCTTATAATCCTCCAAAGAAGGTTAAAACGGCAGTGGCCCCGCGATCTTTTATAGTTTGTAAATATTGGAGTTCTGGCGGTGGCCAGATTCTCCACTCACGACATAACATGAGTGTATGTGGCTAAAGCACTCTTGCTCAACCTCCACTGGGTTTAGCCACAGTGACGCGGTTGAGAGAGAAGTGCAGGGATCTCCTGGAATCATGCTTTTCCCTCCACAGTTGGCTCGGAGTTCTCTCGCCTGATTGCAAATAGTATGTATGTGTTAGTATAAACCTATATACTAACACATGTATGTATTCTTTTTATTTATTTATTTTTAGGTTATTTTATTCTTATTTATTGTATGTATATTATTTTTCTTCATAATTTATTTTATTTATTGTGCATAGAGTGTGAATTCGATCTCTAAACACTATTATAAATGTCCTTTGAGATAGATTGTAATATTTTTCAGTAAATATGTTTAAAAAAATACTAATAAAAATAACAGTATCTCAATCTCAATCCTATGAGACAAACATTCTAAAGCAGTATAAGTGTCACAGCCTAATCCAAGGAATTTAAGGGAACAAGGACCTTGTATAGTAAGTTATAAATTAAATTAAAAAAATAATTCCATTCTTAAATAATGTTTTGATTTATTATTTTCGATAATCATCCA